ATTAAAAAGTTATAGAATGATAAAGAAGAAGAAGAAATGAAGAGTTTTATTATTATTATTTATATGACTTTAATATTTATAATATTTAAATTAAATTGTATCTTTTCATTATATTTTATATTTATAAATAGGTACATATGAAATATAAATCAATCAAATTATTTATTCTATTTTTTTATATTTATTGAAATATTAGTGTCCGATAATTGTAAATATAATTAAAAAACACCAATCGAATAAATAAGTCATGTTAAGAGTCTATAGAAAAATATCTAGAGAATCTTGGAGAAGTGGATGTAGAAGTAGATTTTGATTTATGTAAGAATGGTGGCTGATTTGATATTAAAGTTTAACATTCCTATCCAAGTGTTTCATGGAAAAAAAAAAGGTACAAGCAATTTGAAGATAATTTATTATTAATTACTTCATAGAATAATTTACAGATATAACAGAAGGGGATCAAAAAAGGTTATAAAATGAAATAAATTTAGTTTTAAAATGTCTAAGAAAAAAATATGATGCAATAAATTTTAATCTTAAAAATTTAAATTCAATAATATATATATATATATATATATATATATATATTATAAAATTTTATATAATATATTTATTTTTATATATTAATTCTCATCATATATTTTATATAATAATTTATATGTTGCTCCATTTGGATTTGGAGTGAAATGGGATGAAGTTTAGATTATGACAATTTGGTTTTCTACGCAATTACTTCTGAACTTACCATCCCACTTATCAAAACCTCAATATAAATAATTAAATGCACAATTATTTTCTATAATTGTTAGAATACATGTTAGTCACTGAAATTAAATAAATATTTAAATTAAATATAAAAAATATATAAATCCAATAATTATCTAAATTAAATATAAATCATTTTATTTTATTTTAATATTAAATTTAAGTTAAATAAATTAACATTTCTAATTTAATTTAAATTAATTTTTTTATTTGAAACTATTAAATTTTTTATAAAAGTTGTAAATTATTTTTCTAAAAACAATATGTTAAATACTTTACGATAAAAATATGCTATAACATATTTTTGTATAACTATGATTACATTCATTTTTTTTATCTATAAATAATTATATTTTTTTATAATTAAAATATTATTATCATATCTTAATAAATATAAATATAATAATATCTAACATTCTCACTTAAAAAAAATGGTTACTTTTTTCTTATTTCAAATAACGGTTACATTTTTCTTATTTCTAACTAAAAGAAAATAAAAAAAGAATGAGAAAATAAAGAAAGAAATAGGAAGATTTTTTATTCTGTTTTTTTTTTCAAGAGCTTAGCAATAAACTAGTGAAAAAAAAAGTAACTATTCTTTATCATCCAAATTAAATGAAAATTGGGACCACTTTTACAAACTTGTATAATTTTAAATTTTTTAATATTCACATTGTATATATATAAAATCAATTATATAATTAAAATAATTAATTTATATTAATATCTTAGTAATACTTTATAAGTTCAGAAGGTATTAAATATATTGTAAATACTTATTCTATTTATATTATATTATATATATATACATATTATATTGTAAATATTTAATTATAAATTTGAATATATGTTGATCTTTGTACTAAACTATTTTTAATGTTTATATTCTAAAAGTTAATATATAAAATATTAAATTTAAGTATAAAAATATAAAATCATCTAATTTTAAACAATTAGTAGATCGAATTTAAAATTTAAAAATATAAGAATAAAAAATCTATATAAAAGATACCATAATAAAAAAAATTCCTTATATTTGAATTTATTTTATTATAGTATTAATAATATAAAAAATATGAAAATAATAATTATTAATTAATAAAGTTATTGGCAATAAATATATTTTATTTTATATTTTACTTATTTTCATTTGTAAAATTATATAAAAAATCTTATTTTAAGTTTTTTTGTTAACTTCGCTTATTATTTTCCAAATCAAAACAAGATAACAAGTATTATAATTTGGATAAATTGAAAAGAAATAATTATTTTATCATTATTATTATAACAAAATTATAGATAATATATAATTATTTTACTTATTATTTTTAAAAATTAATATATTAATCATCTAACGACCACAATTAATTACGTAGGTATGGTAGGTATGGTGCACCTTTATCTTTTATTCTGGAAGAACAAATTTATGTTCAGAGAAAGTGATGAATGCATCTTTCTCTGTTTGTATATACTCTCACTTAGCATGAATAAAACAGGTGCGTTTTTTTTTTTTAATATATTTAAATAATCCATTAAACAAAACATCCAAAGAATCATTTTTATTAATACAATAATAATAATAAAAATTATCTCTTTTTCTCACATTCAAAAATTAATTATCCTAAAGATGTTTCCTTACAATAGACGTCAAATTATAATTTTCCTTCTCTCTCCCACTACCAACTTTGATATGAAAAAAAAAAAAAAAGCAAGCGTACGAATATCCCTTGGACCAAATTAACATTAGGTATATACGATTTCGTATTTATAATTATTTTATTATTTTTAATGATATATTTTATTTTTAAAATATATTTTATATATTTTATTAAATTATTTAATAAATTTAAAATATCACATCATATATTAATAATATATTACATAATATAAATATATTAATATCATGGGACACTTCTTTTTTTACATAATTTAAGGAAAATTATGAAGGGAACACATTAATTTGGAACCAACTTTATACTATTAGTAAATAAAATAATAAGACACAAAAATTTTATACTTTAATTTAATATTTTATAATAATGGTAGATGTACGATTGGTCATTCCAGTAGAACTTTAATAATATCTATTACAATAGTTGACTTGACTTTTGTTTTTCTTTTTCTTTTTTTTTTCTTTTTTCTACTTGAAAGGTAATATTAAACTAGATTCATTCTGAAAGGGACGGGAACTAAATTCATTTCCGGACAGAAAAAACCTAAATTGATCAGGGATACGAGCGGGTATAAGTTTTTTCACTTTAAAAATATAGGTAACCCAATCTCACTTTCATCTCTTTCTTTATATTTAAATTTAAATTTTAAAATATTAATATTTTAAAAATATTTTCTTTCTTTTTCTATTATATAAGATTATTTTTTATATTTTACTAATTTTTATTTCTTTTCAACCTATTTTTTATTTTTTTTATCTTTTTTAATCTTTTATATCAATTAATTTATTACATTATTCTTTCTCTTACCTCTTAATTTTTCACATTTCCTTAATCTTTCCCATCAATTTTTTTTTTCAATCTTTTCAACCAATTTGATGAAAACAAAGTTAATTTTTTTCTTTTATATCTTTTTCTAAATATTTTACATAAATTTTAGTAGTAACTAATATTATTTTATTTATAATTTATATTTAGTAGGTTTTATTATGTCATATTTTTTTATCTTATTATTCTTATTTATCATATATCAAATTTTATCTTAATAAAAAAATTGTATGTTAAAGGATTAAAAGGAATTAATAATTTAAATTTTTATTACTTCGAACTAATTAAATAAGAATTAACTTATTAAATATTTCCTTATAAACTATGTATTTAAAAATGACAACTTAAAAATGAATTAATTTATCTATATAATCAAATGTTTGAATATAATATTATAATAATAATATTATAAGTATTCATTTGAATACGAGTGTTATAATAATAATAATAATAATAATGTTATAAATATTTTCTCTATATAAATATATAAATAAAAAATAATTAAATATTTCTTTTACATACATATTTTAATATAAGTATAATAAATTAAAACATATATTTAATTATTAATAATTATAAATTATAAATATTTATTTATATATATAAAATACATAGTAAAATTAATTTATTAAAAATGTAATTATCTTTTTAAAAATAATATAGATCGGGAACGAAGAACTCGAAACCCAATGAATAAAAGAGATGAAAACTTAATTTCTAACCCCGACGAGGATCGAGGACGAGGATTGTTAAAAAATTAAGGAGCGTGGATCGGGAAGACAAAACTCGCCCCACACCTACGCCGCGCCCGTGGCCATGCCTAGATTCTCTCACACACACACACACACATATATATATATATATATATATATATATATATATATTTAATTTAGTTTTTATATATAAAAGTAAATTAATTAATATTTAAACTTTAATAAATATGTGAATTTAATATTTTTATTAACTTTATAATAATAAAAAAGATTATTAAATATTAAATTTAGATTTCAAGAAAATAAAATTATATTTAATCATTTTATCAAATCTATTAAATTATAAAAAATACCATTAAATATTAACAATTTTATAAATCAGAGGATCAATTAATATTTTTTAAATATAAGAACTAAATTAAATTTCATAAAAATAACTCATATTTAACCTCATATAATAATAACATAAATACAAAAAATACATGTCATAATATATTATGTTTTGAATTAAATAAAAAATATAACACTGAAATTGAATATTTCTTTTGTTAAAAAAATGGAAATGACGTCAATTTAATATAAGGAAAATTTTTAGGTTTATAATTTTTATATAAATCCCATAAAATTTTCACTTCAGATAATTTTTTTTATAAATCACATAGAGAGGTAGTTGTAAAAGAAAATTTTCATTTATGTGAGAACGGTGGTTGGTTTGAACTAAAACCAAGTTATTGTCATTGCAGCTATCATTGATTGGTACCTTGATATTGTTTGTTCATAACAAGAACACGTATGTGATCTTGGGTTTTTTTGTTTTATTTTAAATAAAAGTATTTATCATATCACATCAGTTCGTAGGTGTCGATATGATTTCGGTCCCAAGACAAGAATAAATACCCCCACCGGCTCCATCACCATCTTCCAGTGTTTTCCATTGATCCTTGTTTGCGAATTGTATGCATATCTAAACTCAATGGAAAACAAACACATAGCTGTGATCCCTTTTCCTTTTGGCAGCCACCTTATGCCTCTCCTAAACCTTGTCATCAAACTAGCTCATGCCGCTCCAAACTATTCATTCTCATTCATTGGTACACACGACTCCAACGCAATTCTCTTCCCAAAACCCTATATCCCCAACAACATCAAGCCTTATAGCATAAGTGATGGAATCCCAGAGGGTCATGTGCTTAGCAACAACCCAATACAAAAACTTGACCTTTTTCTCAAAACTGGTCCTGAGAACTTGCATAAGGGAATAGAACTTGCGGAAGCAGAGACAGAGGTGAGAGTCACGTGCATCATTGCCGATGCTTTTATGACCTCTTCTCTCCTTGTAGCTCAGACCCTCAATGTTCCTTGGATTGCATTTTGGCTTCCCAATTCATGCTCACTTTCTCTATATTTTTACACTGACTTGATAAGCCACCACTGTGCAAATTATGCTGGAAATACAACCACGGATTTTCTTCCCGGGTTGTCTAAGATGCGTGTGGAAGATATGCCACAGGATCTGTTCAAGGTTGGAGAAAAGAAGACAGTATTTTCGAAGACGCTTGTTTCATTGGGTAAGGTGCTACCTCAAGCGCAGGCAGTGGTTATGAATTTCTTTGAGGAATTGGACCCACCTTTGTTTGTTCAGGACATGAGATCCAAGTTGCAGTCTTTGCTTTATGTTCTTCCGCTTCCCTCTCCGCTGTTGCCACCATCCAATAAAGATTCAAATGAATGCTTGCCATGGTTGGATACCAAGAGTGCCAGATCAGTGGCTTATGTGTGCTTTGGGACTGTGGTTGCACCACCTCCTCATGAGCTTGTGGCGGTGGCAGAGGCATTGGAAGAAAGTGGGTTTCCATTTCTGTGGTCTCTCAAGGAAGGTCTAATGGGTCTTTTGCCAAATGGGTTTGTTGAGAGGACCAATATGCGTGGGAAAATAGTGTCTTGGGCTCCCCAAACCCAAGTTTTGGCTCATGATTCGGTAGGAGTGTTTTTGACTCACTGTGGTGCTAACTCTGTGATTGAGAGTGTTTCGGGTGGGGTTCCTATGATCTGTAGGCCATTCTTTGGAGATCAAGGGATAGCTGGAAGAGTGATAGAGGATGTTTGGGAGACTGGGGTGATAATAGAAGGTAGAACCTTCACCAAAAAAGCATTGCTTAAAAGCTTGAATCTGATTCTGGTGCAGGAAGAGGGTAAGAATATTAGAGACAATGCTCAAAAGGCGAAGAACACTGTGGAAGACGCGAGTAGATCTGAACGGCAAACAGCAGGGGATTTCAAGACTTTGATGCAACTTATTTCGAGATCTTAAAGCTTTGACTGGAACATTGATGCTCTATTGCGGCTAGCTACAACAGCAGCCATAGGTTAATTCACAGCTACCAACAGCAATAACAAACCCAGATTCACAGTGAGAGATTGAGAATGGGTATTTCGTTTGCTGTATGTTTCTAAAATTTGACGTGTTCTTATAATTAATAATATTGTGTTCTTAGTTCATCACTCTGTAAAGTCTGTTAACTGTTCAGTTTGACAACCTACGAGGGCCAGATCCATACCATAAAACAACTACACTTTTGAGCAGTTCTTAGGCATGAATCATGAGCACCCTATCTCAGCATTATTAACAACTTTACCCTTCTGAGAATAACATAACTGAGGTGTTGGATAACATTCACATAAAATCATTTGGCTAAAACCTGATCTCCTATAACTGTATGTTCTATTTAGGATTTTGCTTTCAAACACTATCAACTTCTATGTTTCGGATTCTAGGCACTGTCTTTAAGTTTAATTTGGTTGTTCATAAAGAAGGTTCCAGAAGCAAGTATCATGTATAAAGATACAATTTTAATTCAATATCAAATGAGACTTTAAGTACTTTTATTTTTATTTTTTTCTTTTATAATTTTAGGGACTGATATGAAAAATAAATAAATAAATAAGAATAATAATTCTTGTATATACAATTAAAAAAATTTATTTACAGTAAAAAATGTCAATTCGAATAACTTAATTAATGGCTCAATTTAAAAATATATATATAGTCATTTAATTAAATTATGATATAGACATGTGATGGAATTTGGATTCTACAAAGAACAAATGGAGCATTTATTTCCCTTGTTCGTGGAGTAGTTCACACCGTACAAATCAAAAGTCTAATTAATGTCCACTCTGTCAATAGTAATTAATTTATTATTTGTTAATTAAATAATTAATATCTCATGCTAAAATTAAAATATTATTTTCCAAATATTCTTATTATATATTGTTTAAGACTAAATTTATTCTTATGAAAATTGTTAGAGCAAAAGAAACATTAATTTTAAAGTTTATATTTTTAATTTGACTGTAATTTCCCCCTACACATCTATTCAAATGTAACTGGAGAATCAGATATTTTTTAATTTGATACTTATCTTTATTAAATTAAGAATTTTTAAATTATTGTAATTAATAGCGGATCTTGATGAATAAATAACATATTCATGTGTAATTTCAACTATTCAAGCTAAGAAATAGTCAAAGGAAAAAAAATGGATTTTGAAAGTACAAAAATCAAATAAATACTGAGATAAAAGTTTTTATTTAATCTACTATTTCAATTTTTTATTATTTTCTTTTTATTATATATTTATTTTTTATATTAATATTTATGAGAAGAAATAAATAAATCAATAATTATATATAATATTTAGTTTACATTCATAAACTTTAAATATTCAAGGAGCTAAATTTATAAAAAATTATAAAAAATTTAGGAGGTAACTAATTGCAGCTAATATATTTAAAAATAAGAAATTGACGGGTATATATTTGAAAAACATATTTAATTTGAAAAACAAGAAATTAAGACATCAAGTTATATCTATATATACTGAGTGTTTTAATATGTTTTGAGAATATACCTGCGTCTTATTAACTCAATTTTTGTTTACCTTAAGTGTTATTACAATTTTAATTTCAGGCATAAAACTTAGTTCAATATTTCTGTTTTTTTATTTTATTAAAACATTATTAATAATTTAAATTTTAATTATGAAAAGATTTAAGATAATTCACATTTAAATAATTATTCTCTTAATAGACTTCTGTTTTCTTAATATTTATATAGTTTAAAATACTTAATTGCAAAACATTTAATCTTATCATTTATAAGTAATAATTTTTTTATTAAATAAACTATTAAAAAAGATTACGCAGTGATATATTTCTTATTATTTTTTTCTATTAATTCCGAAAAAAAAGGGTTAAAGTTTAGGATAGATTTTTTTTTCTCAAATGAAACGAATCATAAAACAATTTCCCTGTAAACTTATTATCAAAATATTTACCAGACAACACTTATTTTCTTTACTACTCGATTATCGAGAATTTGAATTCAGTTTTTCGAGAATAAAATTCTTAAATCATTTTAATTTTATTTTTTTAGTTTGTGTTCTTTTAATTTGAAAATATTAAATTAAATTAATGAATATATTATAATATAATCAATAAAATATATATAATTTAAATTATTCATAATAATATATGATTTTTTTAAATAAAAACTTCATTTACTTTACTATTTTAAATTAAGCTTTTTAATTTAATATTTTAATTCAAACCTAATGTTAACATAAATTTTAAAATAATTACTAATAGTTCTTACTACTCTAAAAAAAAATACAGTCTTCATATTTGAAGCATTCACCATTAACATTTAATATTTAAATCAGTTATAATTTTACATTATTAACTTAGTATTAATACTAAAAGATTAATATTAAAGTTTACATTTTTAAATTATAATATAATTAATTATTTTATCTATGTATATTATAATATTTTTCAATTCATATATAATATAAATATCATTATTATAATTATTTTTATACAACTTAAATGTTTAAATATTAGTTTAGTTAATACAAAATAGATTTTGGATTATTTATTTAATTAACTTTTAATATATTAATTACTTTAATTTAATATTTTAAAATTATATATATATATATATATATATATATATATATATATATATAAATCAAAATTCAGTTCAGAATTTGATTCTTCCAAAAGAGAATATATATATATATATGTTTGGTTGCTAATCACAGTATCTTCGGCTCAAATTAGGCTCATTGAAGAACGGAAGTGGGCTAACTAAGAGAAGCCCATCTCTGGCAAGTCCATGTTTGAAACCCAAATTTAGAAAAAATACGGCGAAAATTACTTATGAAAACTCAAAAAAAAAAAAAAAAAATATATATATATATATATATATATATATATATAAGTCATAATTTTAACTATAAAACTTATATTAAAATAATATATTTTATTTTAAAAAGTTTGACAACAATTTTTATTATAGATATTATAAATTAATAGAATATATATATATATATATATATATATATATATATATATATATATATAAAATAACAAATAAAACAGCTACAAAATATTTCACTTCCTTTAATTTTTTATGAACGTTTCTTTTTAACTAAAATACAAGAATATTTTATGTCCCATCATATTTTTGAACAGGTAGTAATTTATATCTTTTAGATATTTCTATGTTGAGGAGAAAGGAAAAGGAATGAGTAATGTGATGGGAGAATGTTACTCAAGTGTTTTAAGTGAAATGGGTAGATTTGAATTGCACTAATACTTGATATTTGGAGCAGTTCGATTATAGGAAAATCTAAATAAGTGAACTTAGTTATTTAAATATTAATACATCAATATTATTAAATATATATGTATATTAAGTTATTAGACGTAAAAGGTAGTGACGAATCTTGATCATTCATTTTGGGACTAAATAATATATTATTAATAAATTAATCTTTGGGACCAAATAATATATTATTAATAAATATAAAAAGAAGAAAGAAGATGAAATGGTGAAAAGATAAAATTGTAGATATATATTTAAATATATTAAATAATCATTAAGTATGAGGGGGACAAAATCATAAATTATATAAGAGTTACAAAATTGAGAAGAGGCTGAGAGGATAAAATTATAAATATACAAATAAATATATTAAATTTTCATAAAATTTTAGGAAACTAAAATTATAAATTATATAATAGTTACAAAACTTTGAGAAGTCACGATCCCAACTTCTCAAAGTTATTATACCAACTTGGTATTATATAGTGATTTTAATGTATATGATAAAGAATTATTTAAATAAATTTCATCCAACTGTCAATGGTGGTAAATTAGTTTTTAAAATCATAAGTAAAAATCTTAGAATATGATATATTATTTTATTCAATTAACTGAAATTTATTTTATAAATATTATGATAGGAATAATTTTTAAATTTGTTATTATTAATTTATTAACATGTTAATTATACATTACAGATATAGCATTTTAAGAATTTATTTTATTATGTGTAATCATTTGAACGTTTTACTTTAAAATAATTTTATATTTTTTCATTTATTATTTATTTTATTTTTAGTTTTAGTATTAATTTATCTTTATCGTAATAATAACATGAAACATGTCATTCTTAATAGTTTAAAAAAATCAAAATAAAGGATGATTTTTAAATTCTAAATTTTCAATTTCAATTCATATTTGATTTTCTAATTTTATTAATCAACTGTTAAACAATAGTAATTTTAAATTTAATATTTAAATTTTAAAATTCAAAATACACTTGAAAAATTAGGATAGTTTTTTTTTTCCATTATTTTTTTGTGTGTATATATATATATTAATTTCGTCTCATTAATGTGTTTAGTGTTAATTTATTCTTCCTTTGTTATTCTTAATTTTTTTCCCTTAAAGTAAGTGAATATTAATTTAGTAGAACATGACATTGATATCAATTAGTATCACATCACAACACGTTATCACGTCAACAATGATCATACTCTAATTTAACGTTGACACAGAAATAGTATTGAACCGCTTTAAGGAAACGAGACAGCACTAAAAATAATAGTAAAATAAATACACAAGAATTTAAAAACAATAGAACAAGAACAAATATTTAACCATATGCTCTTATTATTGAATTTTCAATTTTCAATTTCAATTCAATTTTTTTGAATTATTAAAATTTTGAAATATTACTTATAGTTTTAATTTAGAAATTTTAAATTTATTTTTTAATATTTTAGAATATATTATAATCGATTTCAAACTTAAAATATTTGTTTTTTATTTTCTATTCAAATTAATGTTGCATGTTGAAAGGTGATTTTGAACTTTTAGATCAAAATCTTATATTTTAAATTTTAATTAAATAATTAATAATAATAAAAGTTAAAATGATTACTTTTTGCAATTAAAACAAATTGACATTGTCATAGAATCAATTTTATATAAAATCATAATCGCATATTATCATATTAAAAATAAGAAAAATATAACATCATATTATTATTTTTAATAACCAATATTGTTAAATATACTATTTCATGTTATTTATTAATTTTTTATACATATCAGTAATATTGTTTAAAATATTTGTTAACTTATCAAATAATATTCCACTTTATTTAAAAAAAAACGTTAACTTCATAATTATTATATATAAGATATGTAAAAAAATATAAAATTTAAATTTAAACAAAATGCACACATTTAAAGTATTATATATATATATATATATATATATATATATATATATATATATATATATATATTAAAAAATTAAAGGAACTAATAATGTTACGCATAGGTTCAAAATCTAGTTAACTATGACAATAGAATCTAGTTAAACACGATTCAGAGATATACTAAATTTGTGATTTATAAATTTTAATTATCATGTAGGTGCAAATTTTAATTTCAGTGAATAATATAACATTAGTTGAGTAAAGAAAAAAGTATTGGAAAAGAAGATAAATGAAGAGAAATAATTAGAAGAAAAACAGGTAAAAGGTTTATTAAAACTATTTTTGTTAATTTACTTATCATTATTAATATTGTGTTATTTATTTATTTATTAAAAAAAAATTTTAAGAAAAAAACTTCTCTGATTATTTCATGACTATCACGAAATTGTTTTTTAATTGAAAAAAGAAATCTATTAAACAAAACATGATCAATTATATAAGTGATTAATTTTTTTAGATAGTATCAATTTAACTTAGTGACAAGTATGACAAGTATAATATATAATAGTTGACATTTAATTTATCATGCATATAATATTAGACAAATATATTAAATTATATTACTTATATCAAGTTTTACCAGTATCATAATTTTAGATCACATTTATATTTGATTCATACAAACACATTCTAAAAGGGTTATACTATGTTTCAAATCAAAAAACTAGTCGCACTGATATTGCACTAAGTACTTTATGATTATCAATACCATTATAGTTTCTTTATCCACAAAACAGGACTACTAATAATATTACACGTTTTAATATCTCTCTTGCTTAAACAAAAATAAACTCGTTTAAAAGAAAATTGAATTAATTTAACTTTCACTTGAGGGAAGAACTCTCGTTTGAGTGAACTACCACACCTTTAGGTCGTCTTTTTCACTGTCTTATCTTGACTCAAACAAATTAGGTCTCGTTTGAGTGAATATCAATTTTAAAAATGAGATTTTTTTGAATTTTTTGCTTTTTTTCCATCCCAAAAATAGAACCTATTTATATCAAATATGTAATATGAATATTATACAACATCAAAACACATAAATATTCTTTTTTATTGTCATTACAACACATCAAGACATTAGCATCTCCATATATATATATATATATATATATCAATATTCCAATTCCATCCTAAAATAAACTACTTGTTCAAAATCTTTTTTAGGCATAATCTTTTCTTATTCTTCAACTTTCTCCTATTATTTATAAATCTAAAATTCATTAAAAATTCAATACTTTAAATTTAAAGAAAACTTAAAATATTTCAAATGATTATAGAAATTATTTAACTTAACCTTTTATTTATAGAGTTTTACACAGCAACTAAATATAAAATAAAATTGCCTTGTTACAACAACACATTATTTTTTTAATATTATAAAACACAAAAGAACCGATCCTACATTTTTGTACTATTTTGCGGAAAAGAAAAAAAAATGTGGAACTTGTGGTTTTTTAGGAAAAAAGTATAATAAGTTGTCATCACATCATCTTCTTATTTTTTATTTATCATACTTTTCTTATTATTTGGAATCAACCAAATCAATCCATAATACTTATTTAAAAGAGTGCATTTAAAAGCATATTCATAAGCAAATATACTACTACTATATACTGAATAAAACCATTACCTAAAATTCCTCCTTTGTAAAAGCATGAACAGAAATCCCAAGATTGTAAACTAATGTAATGTAATTAATCATATAAAAAAAACAAAAAAGGGTAAGTTTTGAAAGTTGAAACAGATGGGTAAGTTGAAATGACGACATTCCATATCACCAATTACCAAACACCATGGAATATGATGTCATTAGTTTTAATGTATATCACTTTCATGAACAGGTTCATCACAGATTTTACCCCATACCCATCATTCCGGGCACATTCACGTTTTCAGTTATTCATCAGAATCAAAATCTTTTTCCTCTAATCTTGGCAAAACCATCTTAATTTTGCTAAGGTGATGATGATAAAGACCACTTTTTAGTCAAAACAAAAACCTCATTGTTTACAAGATTAGACCAAGGACAACCTCGTAATAACACACGAAACGTGAACACTGTGGTAATCTATCACCCTTGCATTTATAAAAGCCCCCAAGTTGTCGACCCTCCAAACTCACTACCACACCAATATCCCCTGCCTGCGATCCACTCTCCTTCACCCGCACTTTCTCTCTCTAGATTTTTAGAGAGAGAGAGAGAGACCCGAAAGGAATCTGAGAAAAAAAAAAACGTGGAAAGCATCGAGAATGGCGAAGAGGTTTGCGGTGTTGATGTGCGCAGAGGATTCGGAGTACACGAAGAAAGTGTACGGAGGGTATTCTGAGGTGTTCGTGAGAATGCTGGCGGAGGAGGGAGAGACTTGGGACGTGTACAAGGTGGTGCGTCGGGAATTTCCCGAGGATCATGAGTTGGCTCTCTATGATGGCTTTGTAATCACTGGCAGTTGCAGCGACGCACATGGAAACGACATATGGGTTCGTGACCTTCTCAACTTGCTTCGCAAACTCCACTCCATGAACAAAAAACTCCTCGGCATTTGCTTCGGCCATCAGGTATATTATTCTTCATCCAATCTAACAAACAAACATCACCATTTTTTCCAGTTACACGTTTTTCTGTTGTTTTCTTACCAGAGAAAGGTTAATCATTGGTGCATTAACTAGATAAATTTGTGATCATTGATTGGAAGCGATGGATAATATTTTTCAAAATATCTTATCTTGATTTGTTGAGTTCTGCATTGTGCTGGTACAGGTGGGCCATTTCCAAAATTTAAAGCGGACATTAAAACACACGAATTTGAACATGTCGTTTTTGCAGAGTTCTAGGTCCCACTCACCTTTGGGATTTATCCTAGGACAAATGTTTCCACCAAACATTTTAAAGATTCGTTCAATGCATTTTCAATTTGTCCATGTTTTCCATGCCATAAAAACTCGCCCTTTGAAATTGGCTACAGTAGCTTCGTCTGTTTGATCACTTTTTCACCTTTTGATTTTGAATTCATGTTATACTTTTTCTTATACTTGTTTGTTGTTACATTTCATATAGTTTTTTCTTCCTGCATCCATTTTTATCAAAGGGTGTCAGAAGATCTGAGCTGGGCTAAACTTTTGTCTTGCATTTCACGTCCTGACTTGGCGATCTATATCTTCAAGATTTGTAGACTAACACTGACCCAGTTGATAAAAGATTGATCTTTACTTTACCTAAAGAAGGAAGAGGTAATAAACAGAATAAACAATAAAGATTGTACCGTTTTTGTCTGTTCTATTTATCTCCATTCTTATCAATGTTGTCCCGTAACTCAAAAAGAAATATTATTTCTTGAAGAATGTTTAACCACCTTACTCAACATCAAAATCTCTGAAAACTATCTCACTCGGCGGTGGACTACTATGATGCGAGTATCACAAGCATCACATAATAAATTAATTGACTAATGGGTTCCTAGTGTGTGTTTGTGCATAAAAATACATGACATCAAGTTTGTTATTATGTGTGGTATGATGAAAGACACAGTGATGGCACTTGGCAATGTATAAACATAAGAATAAGGAAGATTCTTGTTTAATTTGATCAGATACTTGCGCGTGCATTGGGAGGGAAGGTGACTCGTTCTCCTACTGGTTGGGACATTGGTGTCAGAACCATAACATTGTCACCATCTTTGCCATTCTCTTTGTCTTGTCTTGATCTTCCATCAAGGCTTTCCATTATCGAATGCCACAGGGATGAGGTGTGTAGATTTGGGTGAAAAAAAATCTCACTGCCTTAAATTTTCTTCTGATTGAAACCATGGTATAACTGACATCTAAGCCATGATTTTTGTATAGATCCGAGAACTTCCTGCGAAGGCAGAGGTGATTGCTTGGTCGGATAAGACTGGAATTGAAGTGTTCAAGTATGGAGATCACATTATGGGAATCCAAGGTCACCCAGAGTATTCTAAAGACATTCTTTTGCACCTTATTGATCGTCTCATTCAACAAAATTTCATCATAGTAAGTCCATTTTCCTCTCTTTCTCTCTCTCATTAAATTTATCCAATGTCGGTGTATGAACTTTTATAATAGAACAAAAACTTTTGTACATATATAAAATGATGTGTCACGTGACATGTTATTGGCTAAGGATTTGGAATGTGCTGAATTAATGAGTGGATGTTTTGAATGATAGGATACTGTTGGTGTTCAAGCAAGGGAGAGGGCTGCACTGTGGGAACCAGATAAGGAGGCTTGGAAGAAAGTGTGTGTGAGCTTTCTGAAGGGTCGATTGTGACATAGATGAAATGGAGAGCAGAGGTTTCATTAGCTCTTAGTAAAGAAATAGTGGTATAGTATGTAATAGGGTCTCTAAATAGGTGGAGGTTATGTAGTTGTTGGTTGCACTAATATGTTGTGGGGCAACGTACTGTATGATAGTTGGCTATGTTTGGGTTCCAGCCATTATTGTTGGTGCAAATGCACTCTATTATTTACCTGAACTATCAATCAATTGTAACTCAAGAATCTGCTAAAAATATGCATAAAACACGGCTTGAATGCACAAAAGTATCAACAGCTGGCGTTTGGAGGCTTGTAGGGTCCCCTTTATATTGAAAACAAGATAAGAAAGGGTTTGATTTTTGTAGTTGTTGTTTCGTTGAAATAAAGTTTAAACCCAGCCTGCGTGACCTAACGCCAAAGAGCTTAAACGCAACTCATTTTCATCTGGTCCTGCCATGGAATGTGGGGTTTTTGGTTTTTGGTTTGTGGCCGAAAGCTTTTGATGAGTAACCTTCTTTGAAAAGGATTTTCAGTGATAAGTCTCGTTCTGGCTTTTAGGGGCACTCAGAAAGATAGCTTTCACGTTTATTGTATTATACGTTCCTAACACCTACCCATCTGCTTATTTAGAGAAGCTTTTTCCGTCGCAATCACGCTTTTTTTTTGAAGGGTATTTTAAACTGCTTTTCGGAGTACGTCGTTTAAAATTACTGTTAAAAGTCCAAACGTAGCCATAAAAAATCATCATATCCCTGTTCGCTCACGTACGTTTTCGGCATCATTTTAGTTCAAAATAAATGCATAATATATATATTTTTAATTTCTTCTTAAATGGAACAAATAAATTTCTAGAAACTTAAGTGAGTTAATTTTAAAATTAAGAAATGTACATAAATTAATAATTAATGCATTACTATAAGGTACCTTATCTAGACAGCTCCGCTCGCCTTTTCAGAATGATAATGAGATGCTCTGGAAAATAGTTTTTATATCCCACGGAACGTGTCTCTCATTACCATTCATTCTCTCCTCTTATTATATAATTCACAATCTTTTCTTATTAGTTAATACCCAATCCTCTTACCTCAACTCACTAAAAAAATAAAACGTTTTAGATTATTAAAAAACATAATACATTATGTCACCTAAATTTTATAATACTAGTTTCCAATTTTAAGCTCCACAATATAAATATATCAATGTCAAAAAATAATATATTACGAAGTTCTTTAGATAATTGTATCATTTCTATAATTATTAAAAATACTAAGTTATTCAATTAAGTTTTATAAAATAAAGTGAGAATTATACATATTATAATATTGCTATATTTTAATTAATATAAAATATCGTTACCTTAAAACAGATTTTTTTTCATCCGACTAAAGTTTTTTATTTAACAAGAAGAATTATTGAGGATGTTTAATAATGTCAAACAGGTAAGCAAGATAAAAAAAATATAAAATTTTTTAGAAAAGGAGAATGAAACCATTGGACGGTGGTTACTTGTTTTCCATCATATTTTATATTGAAGTGGTTAATAGATCAAGGAAAGGATATTAACTACACAAGAGAAGGTGGAAGAATATACATTTATATTTATATTTGGATTAGAAAACGAAATAAAAAATTTAAAAAGGAAAGAAAATAAAAACAAGACTATTAGATTAAATTTTTTTATTAATTATTAATAATGTATTTATTATTTTAATATTATTTTTAATTATTTAATTTATTTTTAATTATTTATTATTTTAATATTATTTTTAATTATTTATTATTTTAATAAAAATGCAAAATTTAATAATTGTATTTACACTTAATAATATTATATTACATTATCGATTATGATAAAAGCAAAATAAAGTATATATATATATATATATATATATATTAAAAATTTCATTTATACTTGAAAAATATCGTCTTCTACTTCAATTTTTTCATCGTTAAATACAAACATGACGTTAATATTATTAAAAAAAATTATATAAATCCCATTTATTTTAAAATTTTTATTGTAAAAATTTGTATACATCTAAAACTCCTATATTACTCATAAATATAGATTAAGCGATCTGAGTCACTTTATTAAAAAAAATTATAACAAAGTTATAAGTATTACAAGATCACTAGTACAAAATAAATAAAGGACAAAGTTTTAATAACGATTATATATGAACAAATAATAATTTTGAAATTATTTTAACTTTTTAACAACAATTTATTTATAATTATTATCATATCCTCAGTGTAGTTATAATATGGATGGTCAAACGGGTTAACCCGTCCCGTTTTGGCCCGTCAAAAGCGGAGCGGGCTGACCCATTATAGTCATGACGAGTTGTAGACCTTGGCCCATCATAATTTAGAAAAATATAATTTATTTTTAAAATTATTTTTTTAATAAATTTAATAATAAAATTATTATTTGTTTGTCAATAATTCAATATATATATATATTTGTTATTATTTATTATTATGTAAATTTTATTATTATTCTAAATTATAATTTCTTAAAACAATGTATTAATTTATATTATTAAATTGAAATAATATATATATATATATACATATATATATATATATATAAATAACGTTAAAACTTATAAAATTTATATTTTTTATATTGAAAATTTTAAATACCTATATCTTTTTTATTTGATAAAACTTCACATTATTCTTGGTTGAATAATTCTTACTCCTTTAATTCAAGTCATAAGGATAAAAATAATCGGTGCTTAGGATGAACAAGAAGAACAAAAGAAAGAATGTTGTGTTTCGTAAGGAGAATATTTTTTGTGAGAGTGAAATTTTTTTTAATTCTCTTTTTAAAATTTTTAACTTTATATATTATCTTTATAATTAATTTTATTACAATAAAAAATTATTTATTTATTAATTAGGCGGATCACGTGTGCTGACCCGTCCTGTCCCGTGGGTTGGCCCGACAAATTGACGGGACGGACCAAAGCGGGCTGGTAGGCTGAAAATACCAACCCGCCCTGCCGAGCCGTCATCCCTAGTTATAAAAAGAGTCATTTGAAGTATATCCTAACATTTCTATGATCATCTCTATTTGAGGTATTAGGGGAATCCTTCTTAAGAGACAAAATATTCTTATTATATCAATTCCTATTCCATCAATGTTTTTAGTTGTGAATTCAAACTTTTTGGTATTTTTTTTTGTTTTTTTTTCATATGATATGATGATGGGTCAATCATTTGCTTTATTGATTTCAAGGATGGTAGCTCTCGTTAGACATTTTTGTTATAATTTTCTGATAATTATAGTTATAGTTAATTTGAAAATTCATCAAATGATAGTTAATTTCACAATTTTCGGTAATATGTGTGACAAAGATAGTTATAAAATCGTGGTTGAATAACCCGTTTGCAGAAAGTAGTGGATATACACACACGCAATTACTTTAACAATGATGACAAGATATTTATTTATTATTGTTAAAATGTGAGAAAACGAATGATAATATAAGTTGATTTGCCACACATTTGGTTCTCCATCGAATAAATTACCCACGTAAATGCAAAAACAATGGATAAGACCATTTAAGTTTCACAGTATTGGACGATGGTTGTGACGAGACATTGAGTAGTGGGAGAGAAGAATTGGAGAAAATAAAATAAGATGAAGAAGAAGAAGAAAATGGTGAAGTGTTGAGAAATGAGAAGGAGAAGGAAAACGTGAAAGTAAAGACGTTGAGTGTTAGTATTAAAATGCCCTAAGAAGCACTAAGACGAAACCATGGTGAAGAAGTCGAAAGCAGAATGAAGAGGACAAAAATAATTGAAGAGAAACAGAAGAAGGAGTTCCAAATCAGTACGCATTAGGGTTAAAAGAGAGTTGATGATAACATCTTTTTGGCTCCTTTCACTTCATCCACTTCTTATCATTGACATGTATGTCGCCAGTATTCAACTTGCTCGGTGCTTTCCACTAAACAAGCACTCAATAAACTGCACGTAATCTCTGAACCATCGTCACCTCCTTCTATTCTATGTCCACCAAAATAACAAAAATAACCAGCAACAACAGATGCTCTAATATATTAATATATATAATCAGTTCACAATTTAAAATGGTCATATAATTAAGAATTTAGGGTAAATAATAATAATATTAAAACAAATTCTAATATTATCATACAACCAAATTATAGAATAATTCCTACTCAATAAAAAAAAAGAGGAAAATGAAATGAAAAACCTTATCCTCAAAATCAAAAGTTTTAGGGTTAGAATCGTGCTTAAACAATGCAAATGTGTAAAGTTGTGTCAATAATTTAATGGAAAAGCAGCGACCTGTTTCCTTCAAACATTATTTTTGCCCTGGAAAATGAATTGCTTAGATAATAAAGGAAAGAAAGTAGGTACACAAGCTACGTAATCGATCTTGACTAGATTTTCCTCTATATGTCCAAAATAATTGTTTTTGCTTAATAATTAGGTTATTTTGTGTTGTGTTTGAGTTTAGCAAAAATTGTAAATAAATAATCAAATATTTTGTATTTGTTTTGATGATTGATTATTTATTCAGTTAAATTAAGTTTAAATATATTTGTGATCTTTATATAGGTTTTGGTTTTGGTTCTTAAATCATTTTTCTTTATCTTTCTTCCCTACAAAATTGAAATAACTATTTTATCTTTCCGTCAAATATGTAAATTTTGATTTCAATTTCCCGAAAAATTATTTATTCCTTTTTTAAATTATTATTTTAGTCACTAATATTTATTTTAGGTTGGAATAAATTGATTTATTAACTTAGTTATGATTCTTTTGTCTACAATTATAGTTTGGACACCTTAGTTTATGGAAGCTACAACTTGGTAATTTAGTTTACAAAGCATTTTACACCCTAGTTTATTTTCCTTTCTTAAACAAAATCTTTGACTTGATCTCTCAAATTATGCATGCATATTAATGGTTAAAAGATTATCACCGAATTCATCTCTTACTAAAATCATTATATTTTAAAAACTTCAAAAAACT